TCGGGGTGGGGCTGGCCAGGGGGAGGGGCTGCAGGAGGTTGGCCAGCCAGCCACGCCCCCTATTGGGGTGTGGGGTACGATCAGGGTGGGACCAGCCAGGGGTAGAGTCTGTGGGCCTACCTGGTGGGGCAGCCGATTGAGGGTGGGGCTGGCAGGGCAAAGGGTGGGGGCCGTTTGGCCGGCCAGCCACGCCCTTGATCGGGGTGGGAGAGTCCGATCAGGGGCAGGCCAGCCAGGGGAGGGGCCGCTGGAAGTTGGCTGGCCGCCCCCACCCCCTGATCAGGCCTGTTCCCTGGCCACAGTGGGCGGCGTCATAGCGACCAGTCCTTACCGCGTTATGGTCGCTGGCTTGTTATATACATAGATTCCTCAAAGCATCATATACTCCCTCCTGACAGGCACCATTATGGTAATCTAAAGCTTAGCCAGCCAGTTTTTCTTAAATATTTCCCATCAGTCCAGCCCACATCCCTGTTCATGGAGCAGCACTGGCAGCTTCATTGTCCTATTTCTGACCCTGTTGGAAGGAAGGAGGGGTGGGCTTGTGGGACAATGTTTATAAAATCTACAGTAGTGTTCAGCAAAGGCAAATTGCTTCATCAAAGCCAGCAAGTGATAGCGAGTGCTGGCAGGATAGAAGTTACAATCTCTGGAATTCAGTCACGGAAATGGCATTCCTTCACTTTTGCCACATTCTATTGGGTAACAGCATGCACAGTTCCCACCCATCATCAAGGAGAGGAGATTACTCAGGGATGTGAATAGCAGAAGGTGGAGCTCATTCAGGTGATCTTATACTTTGTTTGCCACAGTATTCACTCCCTTCTTTTGAAAATATCAGGAAAAAAAATGGATGGCAAACTAGAGAAACAATAGTTAATATATGATTGACAACTTCTGGAAAAGCAGGGGAAAAACTCAAATCCTAAGTAATAAAGAAAAAAAGGCTAACTTTCATAGAAAGAAATTGTGATTAGACAGAAATGGAACTATAAAAAGATTCCTGGCCTCTTCTAAGATTTAACCAGGGAATATGGGTCCTAAGAAACTGTATAGCTGAAAAGAGAAGCGAGTTCACCTGGAGGTCTTGAATGTGTATGTAGAAATAGAAACAAAACAGTATTTGTTCATGGTGTGAATTGGTTTTGTCTACTATATTCACCAGAGGACATTCCTTCACTTTTTGAGTTTACTTCATTAATATTTGACGTGTTCTTTTATTTATTATTTTTTTATTAAACACCTCAGTATAATTTTGTTCTGCTCCAACATGCATAGCCAAAACCACATTGCCACGGCAATCCCTTATGCTCCTTGATTTCTTTAGGGTAGAGAATGTATCCTGTTTATCAAACTATGTAGTTCCATTAGTTCTGGGAAATGGGAAAAAGTAGGCCGCTTTGTTTTAGTCTTTGAAACTAGTTATATGTTTACCTGTAGAATTCAGTGCATAGTTGGAAATGCTACATATTAATTTTACACATAATAAAATACACAACTATGTTAATAGATTTTCTATTTTTATATAGGATCCAAATGAAGATACAGAATGGAATGAAATTTTAAGAGATTTTGGCATTCTTCCTCCAAAAGAAGAGCCAAAAGATGAAATTGAAGAAATGGTTTTACGTTTGCAGAAAGAAGCCATGGGTATAGTTGTGCATTTGGTGGGCTGGATGAAGCGGGTAATACAGTTAGTTACTGATAGTGTATTTCGTGAATTTCAAGGGAGAGAGGACATTAGAAATCATTTAGTATGTCCCACCATACTTTTGCTGATACCTAAAATTCTTAATTCATGTGTTAAAAATTCACATGCGAGTTAATAACAGAGCTGAAATGTCCTGGTATCTAACCTAGTGAGCTTTTTTTTTTTTCTCTAGATCATAATTTTTTACCATGTGATTACCTTATATTTTTATTATTCTATATAGTATATATTATTTGTCAAGATTTCCTGGAACATGGGAAAATCTACATTTCTGAGGTCTAATTTATTTTTACATCTACTTTTATTTTTTAAAATATATTGATTTTTTTACAGAGAAGAAGGGAGAGGGACAGAGAGTTAGAAGCATCAATGAGAGAGAAATATCAATCAGCTGTCTCCTGCACACCTCCTACTGGGGATGTGCCCACAACCAAGATACATGCCCTTGACCGGAATCAAACCTGGGACCCTTGAGTCCGCAGGCCGACGCTCTATCTACTGAGCCAAACCAGTTAGGGCTTTACATCTACTTTTAAATGTAGCCTGGTAGTTCTGTGAACTCTGAGGGAGTAATAATATTTAAACAAAACTAAAGCAGTCAACCACAAAATAGCTTAATATATTGCAAACACTGCAACATTAAAGATAGTCTTGATCTTCATTTATCTAATATATCTTTTTTCTAGACATGTGACTATAAAGTAAAATTAATATTTAAACAATTCAACTGCCTACAATTTATATTGTTTTAGTTAAACCATATGAAAAGATGACTCTTGCACAGTTGAAGGAGGCTGAAGATGAATTTGATGATGAAGATATGAGAGCTATTGAAACATATAGGTACAGTGATTCATTGGGGTAATTTATGAGTTTTGGAATGAAGAATTGTAAGAATAAAACTAAGATAAAGCCCTATTTTGTCTACAGAATAGATTAAAAAATAACAAAACTAATTTTTAAGATTTTAAAACTAACATATAAAGTAGAATTTTTCCTGAAACTTTTTTGCCTTTGCTTGAATTAAAAACTATCCAATAATGTACCATAGGACTTCATCAAGTGATATATGAGTAAAGTGGAAAATACCAATAAGCAGCCAATAAATAGAGGGCTATGATGTTCCTTCTTTCATGATGTCTGTCAATGGTTTCTATAATTTAATAATTAATTGCCAGTCATGAATTCTCTCAGAAATTAGAGTAGGTGCATACATTACCCAACTTATCTTGATACTAAAAACGGACAAAGAGATTATAAAAATATTATGCCAGAGGAAGATATCACTTATGAATGCAGGCACAAAAATTTAAACAAAATATTTGCAAATTAAGTCTAGCAATTTTTTTTTAAAAAAATAAATAAACTTTGGACAAGTAGTCCTAGGAATGCAAGGTTGTCTTAACATTAAAAAACAAAAACAAAAGCAAAAACAAAAAAAAAAAAACAGTAAATTGTGTTAGAAGCAGCAATGTCAAGTCACAATGAACATACCTGGCACTCATAAAAATTGAACTAGTGTTCCTTGGAAAACTGCTTTATTCCACACTGTGAGTTGTGAAAGTACAGTACACGTCTTGAGCATCTTATGGTTCCAGCAAGTAAAGAAATGCTAAAAAAAAAAAAAAGTTTAAGGCATAGAAGCCAAACTAAAAGATCTCTCAATGACCAGAGTTGCAACAACTTGAACAACAAAAAGATAAAATATTAGATTATAAAATAAATATCCATGAGTCCATAATGATATAAGTAATTAACTGAATACATGAACAAATTCAAAAGAAATAACACTTCTCCCTCACTAAAGAATTCCAATTAATAAGTATATATGGAATGAGGAAAATAGAAAAATCACCATTATATCACCATAGCAATAATTCTTGATGAGCAAGATCTGCTGATAGATGCTAAAACGAGTGGATGAAATTTTAAGTAGAAGCATGGTATTTGCATAATCTCACAGTATCTTCCCCTCCAAATATTTAGTAACTATAAGGAAATAGTAAGTTTACAATGTAGAGTTTTGGCAGATTCCATCTTAGGGAAATGATCAAGGTTAAAATCACCAATAATACATGTTGACATTAAGTAACTTGATATGATGTGCTGAAGATGACACACCACCTCTGTGGTGTCCTTTTTAATAATTAATCATCTCAATCTACTAAGAATACACCAGAAACCAAAATTTGAGGAACTTTCAAAAAACTGACCAAGTTGATGTCAGGAAAGATGGCAGAATAGAAAACTCCAGAAAGCCATCTGTTTACCTAGACAACAACTGCATTGGCTGAAAATGTCTGAAGTGACAGCTTTGGAACTTTGGAGTCTATTTAGACACTTGCAGCTTCCAGGATAAAACTTGGCTGGTAAATTGCAGTTAGTAGTGGCTGACTTCAGTCCTTAGTTGGTGATAGCTATCCATCTCTCATCCTCTAGTTCCATGGCAGGCTCCTGTTTGGACAGCAGCCTTTATTTCTGGTAAAGCTTGCTGGAGCAGGGTGGGCAATAAGGACTTTGTGTTCTGATTGTGGAGTGCTGCTTTTGAATGCAGAGGTACAGGCACAGAGTTTGGGTATCACTGTGTCAACCCCATTGGCTCAGGGGGATTCCAGAGCATTTAAGGGAGCCACCTCTATTTTTTATGGACATTAAAAAACAACCATATATATGGGGGAATTTAAATGCTTTGGAAAAGATGAAGGCTCACAGAAGATGTTATGGTTTCATCTCAGGCTGATCCCTGGCTAGAGACACCTTACAATAATAATAAAACAAACCATGGGAAAGGAGGAGAATCTGATTTCCAGAGTTATCACATTATATAAATCAAATGTTCAGTTTCAACAAAAGAATCACAAAGAAATGGGAAAGTGCGGCCCATTCAAGCTGTCTTCCAAAAGCTGTACCATTTTGCATTCCTACCACCAGTGAATGAGAGTTCCTGCTGCTTCACATCCTCTCTGGCATTCGGTGGTGTCAGTGTTCCAGATTTTGGCCATCCTCTTTGGTGTGTAGTGGTTTCTTGATTTATTTGCATTTTCCTGAAGACATAGATGTGGAGCACCCTTTCATAGGCTTATTTGTCATCTCTGAATCTTCTTTGGTGAAGTGTCTATCAGGCCTTTGGCTTATTTTTAAGTCAGATTGTTTTCTTATTGTTGCGTTTTTAGAGTTTTCATATATTAAGGACAACAATCCTTTGTCAGATGTGTCTTTTGTCATTTTCTCCCAGTAACTGCTAAGGAGATAGGTTCCTAGAGAGAGCAGTTGTTACAGCAGTTTTCTGATCCCCAGAGGAATTAGGTTCTAGGGCACAATTGGAACAGTAGTTCCAATTTCCCAAGTTTCTGGATTGTAGCAGAGAAACCTGTTCCCTTGGCAGACCAATTTTGCAATGTTGCTCAGGGAGTCATTTTGATAGCCCAGTTTAGAGCCCCCTCCTTTCCATTGAGTTTGTAAATCACTTAATTTCACAGATTAAGCTTCTTGCTGCTTAAAATAGCTAGGACTTTCTTCAACTGAGTCCCACCTGATATGATTGTTGGGTGTAAAATGCAGGCTACTGAGCACTAAATCACTTCCTGATGGCAAAACTAACCCAGGTCTTTCTGTCTCTCCCTGCCTAATTCCATTGACATAGCAAAGAACAATGAGGAAGAGAGGTGGAAGAGGGGAGGAGAAAGAGATATAGTTGATAGTTGCACCATTAAGTAGGGAACACAAACTTTTTGAAAATTTTGAAAGATATTAAGCCAGTGAGATCAAAGTTGATATTAAATACTCAGTGCCAAAAAATCAGCTCCCAGATCTTTGGAGGAACGGGATATTAAATACTCAGTGCCAAAAAATCAGCTCCCAGAAGATCTTTGGAGGAACGAAATTCTGAATATCTGGGTCAGTAGAGGGAAAATGGAAGGACTTCAGTTTGAAAATTGTGAGAGGGGCCCTCCCTAGATGTGGGTCATTATTCTTGGCATTCTCCTCTAGGCTTCATTTTGCTTGGATTACTTGTTATGTAGAGTGGTTTCACCTAACATGTTTCTAATTAGTAAAATAAGGACAGAGTGTTTTAAAATATACCCAGGATTTTGTATCTATTCATGTAGAGTGAAGCCAACAGATCAGGAGATAATTGACATTGAAAAGAGTTTTTTACTCAGAGTTCTCAAGAACAGGGGGCATGCACCACAATACAAGGCCACACAGGGAAGCACTGGAGTTGGTTGAGAGGCAGGAGTGAAGGGATGACATGGGCACCAGCCTTCATTGTGGTTTCCATGGGAAAGAAAAGCTAAGCAGGGTAAGCAGATTTAGGATTGGCTAGTTTGAATAATTTTGGCAGGCTGTGGGCTACAGTGGCTGTCTCTAGTTGTCTGGTATCTGGCCCAGGGATAATTAGGGCAGAGGGTTAGTGGCTCAGTTTAATAAAAGAGGTGATTGAGGGATCGGGCTCTGGACTGGTTGGTTTGCATTTGAGGAATTTGCTCTCCAGCAGGAGGTTGCTATCTTTCAGAATTAGCTAGACCTGGGAGGGATAGTCTGTCCAGGATCAGCAAAGGCAAGAATACAGAAAATAAGAAAATATAGTTAATACACAGAAAGAAGGGAAGAAAGTGTTCCCAAGATAACTTAGGGATATAGAATCGGTAACTTTTAAGACATTTACACATCAGAAAACATTTAGATCTGCTTCATGAATCTGAGCATTCAACAACTGAATCAGAGTATGTAAATTTTGAGAATTGATTAAGAAAGCTTTAAGGCTCCCTGTGGATGAATAACTAGGTAACATGGAATGCTCACTGTGTGCTAGGCACCATCCTAAGAAATTTACCTGTATTATCTCATTCAATTCCCAACAACCCCATGCAAGTAGGTATTGGTATTATTCTCATTGCAAAAGCTTAGAGAAATCAAATAACTTGCCCAAATTCATGCTGCTAGTAACTAGGAACTGGTATTTAAACCTAGTCTAGTCTCACTGTAGAGTTCAAACTCATCATTCTTCTTTATCACTTCTCTACCTGTAATAAATTTTATAACAAGTAATTATACATATTCACAAAGACTTTAGACTGAAGGTCAGTTTAGCATGATAGTTGAGAGTACATAAATAGGGATAAAAATAATATTAACTTTACACAGTTTTTTTCAAGGATAAGTTAATGTAATGCACTTAAAATAGTGCCTGGCAACATAATAAACACTCCATAAATGTTAGCCATTGTTATGATTATTATATACAAGTATTTAACCTGTAGGGGAGAATTTGTTGGTTCAGTGTCTAAATAAACTCTCTATAGCTATGATTAAGACCTAGTCTTAAATGAAAATAAATTTAGAAGTCAGTCGCTAACTTCTTACTTGCAACACTAATGACAACACAGATTTCCATATAAACAGATAAATTGGCATTATAACACCATTAATAGTTATTCTGTAATTTTTTAAGTGTTTGATGTGTACTAGCATTACATTCATTACCCTAAATTGTTACTGTAGATGGGAATGACCTTAAGAATATAACAATTTTATTATGTAATTTTATTTTTTTTAATTAGAGAAAAGCGGTTGCAGGAATGGAAAGCTCTTAAGAAAAAACAAAAATTTGGGGAGTTAATAGAAATTTCTGGAAATCAATATGTGAATGAAGTCACAAATGCAGACAAAGATGTATGGGTTATAATTCATCTATACAGGTCAAGGTAATTACCTTTTTGTAAAATATTAATATACTAATGTTTTAAGAACATATCACTGGTTTTAAGGGTTTATAGAGCATATAACAAAGACTACTCACAAAAGAAAATAAGAATATATGTATAGAGTCATTGGCTGTAGGGATTTAATTAGGTATTTTAATATATTTTCTTGTTTAATTTTAAAAACTTGTCATACTTTTTAGAAAAATAAGCATTCTTTAGCAGTTAATTTAAATAAAACATATGGAAAATTTCAAACATATAGAAAAATAGATATAAGGATAAAATGAGCCCCCTAAATATTGGCCAGGTAGATTCAACAGTTAACATTTTGCCATATTTGTTTCATTTGCGTGTATTTACAGAATGATTTAAAAGTAAATTACACACACCATGACACTTTTAAGTACTTTAGCATGCATTTTCAAAACATAAGGGCATTTTTCTATATCACCATAATACCATTTTCTCACCTAACAAAATTAACAATCATGTTTAATAGTGTCTAATATCCAGCCCTTACTCAAATTCTCCCAACTGACTTCAAAATGTCTTTTATAAATACACTAGAGGCCTGCTGCACAAAAATTTGTGCACTCCGGGGGGAGGGGGTGTCTCTCAGCCCGGCCTGTGCCCTCTTGCAGTCTGGG